GCTTATGGATAGGCCTGGGCTATTAACCCTATGGTAACTCCCGCTTGCAACAAAGCCAATTCCACCTTGCGGGGAATCGAACTCTGCACACTACCGCGCTGAGCCCTACCCGCCCTCCCCTTTGCCACTGGGAGCTATGCCCTGGGGGCACTTTTTCCTAATATTGTGCATAGGCTTCGTCAAGTCTTCCTAGTTGAGATTACAATTATTAACAATAATACAACAATGTCGTTTTCTTTTGTTTTGTTTCTTACTTTCTTTTTCTTGTTTTAGGGTAAATTTTAATGAAGGTCCCAACATTAAGAAAAGTCTCAAAATTTTAATGAAGGTCCCAAAATATGTAATTAAAAAGTAATAAAAGTTGGGATACTATAAAATGTGTAGTTAAATTTAATTATTGACTTTAATTTAAATTTTTATCTTTCTTTTTTTTAACTAAATCAAATAGGGACTAAGTATGCTATCCTAGATGTTAAACTCGAGGGGAATGCTACGTAGGACCTACATGAACTATAAAATTATATGAATATAACATGCTGTTAAAGTTCTTGTATGGTAAACCAGCTCACTGAGGAGGTCCCATTTATCAAGTGACAATTCTCATATTGTCCAAATTCAACATAGTTAATCGTAAAAGTTAAAATAGATGACCATCGACGCATAAAGAAAGTATTATGCTATACGATCCTACTTATAATTATCAAGAGTATCTGAACTTTTGAACCACTTAAATATTTCATGTACCATGCTATAAGAAAGAGTGTTTCCTACATATTAAATATGCATGCTTTCTATATGTTTGCATGGCATTCCTTAGTTTAAAAACATAGGCTAATATTCTGTAATATTTAGTGCTCCAGAAAGCTTTTACCAGAGGCTTCACACCTGATGTTGAACAGTGAAAAGATTGCCTCAAGCCATATCCCTTGTATACATACCATGAAATATCTTTAATGCCTAATAACCCTGTTCTTGAAGTGATGGAGTAGGTTAAGCTGGGGCACATAAGTGGTGTGTGTATCTATAGAGTTATCTTGCTTTGAGGTTTGTGGATGAACTGTCTTGTGCACGTAGTTTTGGCACATCTTCATCTAAACATCCGAATATAATCCATTTTTAAAAGATATGAAAAACCGAACGAAGGAGTAACTTTAAAACAAGAAGGTTGGACAATGAAACCAATTCCATCCACAATTTTAGTTCCAAAAAAAAAAAAAAATCAATATTGCCGGAAATGCGATACACCACAATCTAAATTTCGGATAATAATAACAATACTATTTTAATAAAAATAATAATAATTTAGTGTAATATTTCAAGTTTTGGTAATATTTGGAATTATTGTTCTTTTCATCAAATTTCAAGATTTATTTTTATATATAAATGTCGCTAAAATATAAAGAAGAAAATATAAAATGCAAAACCAAGCACTTTTTTTTTTATCATGGACACTAAAAATTTAAAATTCAATATTTGTGAGTTTTTTCTATTTAGTTTCTTGATTTTGATATAAAAATACTTTCAAAAAATATAAAATAACCATCTAAGGTGCAAAACCATATTCTTAAAAGTGTTAACATTAATATAGGGCCTCTATAGTTTATAATCCGACCTATGTAAATTTTCCTATTTATTTCATGCGTTTGCTATTTTATGAAAATAATAGAAAATAGATGGAATAAATAATGAAAAAATTAAGAAAATAAGAAAAAATATATAACGTAATGAATTAAATTAATCATGCATAACTCTACATATTCTGCGGAGAATTGTAATATATTGTAAAAAGTGAAAATTCGGGGAATTGACACAAATGGTCCCTAACCTATTGAATTATGTTGACCCCTTTTTTGTAACCGTTTAATAGACAATAGATGTCAGGCCCACTCGCGTCCACGCAAACAAATTCCAATACGTTTTGATCGGAGATTCTGACAGAATAGGATGGTGTTTATGAACGTGTGAGATGTCCTACAACGCAAGACAAAAATATTCGAGTAAAGACAATATGATCAAAGGTGATAAAGAAACCTCATTTTTATATCTAACCCAGTTTAAACATGAAGGACCTAAAATTATAATTGAGGTTTTAACATATAGCTATATATTGTCCATAAACATAGAGAGAAGCCTGTTTCCTTCGGAGCATAGGATTAAGATCTTACACGAGAGAACAAAGATAAAGAATTAAGTTCATAAAAACTGTAATCAATAAAAATATATAGGGAGTCATAACGCCAAAACTGAATAATCATTTTCATCTCAAACATATTTGTTGCCTCCCAACCTGCTTCTGTACTGAAGCTTCTTGTTGCATCAGATAATCGCTATTGAATGCCGATATTTTGCAAAGAGAATGCATGTCTACTTGAGAAGATGAGTTGGAATTAAGCAGAAACATTAGATGCGTTCTTGGCCTTCTCTTTCACCATAGTCTTGACAAAAAGTTCCCCAGCCCTATAAGAGGACCGAACCTGGAGAAGCCAAAATGCAAAAGAAATTACTGTAGAGCCATAGAGAGAGATGAATACATAATCCACTAATTATGACAAAAATCAAGTATTTATATGAATCATTCAAGTGCACAAGCAATGGCAAAATCAGTTAAGCAGTTTCAGTCGGAAAGACTATTGATTAATTGAATGTAAGAACCACTTTTCATTATGAATCCTTTTCTTCAGCTGCTCGGAGCGTGTTTGAAAATGTTTGTAAAGTAACAATAGTGCAGTTGGTTTGATTAACACTTGTAGGTGTGTCAAAAAGTTATTAATAAGAGCTCATG